GAAGCAGTAACAAAGATGTAGAAAAGTGTTCTTTGCTAATCCATTCTTCTTTAATTTGTAATTTTATTTTATGAACCACACATCTTTCTAGATAATCAAAATCTAGCTCTTAAAGAATGCTAAAGAACTGTTGTTACTTTAGTTCCTACTTCATGAAAAATTGTTTGAAGAACTTGGGTATTTTATTAGATATATGATTACTGACAGATTCGTAAATCAGGAATAAAAATTATTCTTTCTCATTATTATTATGTATAATGTTATTGAGGAACGAAATGTAAGTGAAATTTTAAACTTTGTTTCTTTTCTAATAATACCTTGAGACAAACGTTGCTTTCCATTAATATAAATATATATATATATATATGTAACTCTCGGTATAATACTGGTTTTCAACCAGCAAATACCAACACAACCTTTTGTTTTAATAAAACTACATGACTAATGTGTTGTCACATTGTCAACTAATCTATGCTAAAAGGAAACTGTTACAAATAAGCTAAAATATTTGAAATTGCACATGTTCACAAAGGCATTATATGTCCAAAAACTCACCTAGTTTTATGCTGTGATCCATTTCAATTAAAATGTTTTCACTTTTAATGTCCCTGTAAATCACATTATTCAGATGAAGAAACTCTAATCCTATAAGAACCTAAATGAAATATCAATTCATTTCAAAGATAAATATTTTAAGATATCAAGATAAATTTAATTTTCCAGTGTGTTTGTTGTCCATACATTTCATTTTATACTTTCAGTACTTAGCTTAACAACAATTTTAGGTTGATAAATTTGTTGCTAAGCAATAAACATAAAGGACATTCTTGGAAAGCATTGTTATCAAAACCCACTGGCATTTCTATATATTAGATGTTGTTATGCAAAGGACTACATGACTATGTTATTGTGTATATTATGATCCCATTTTAACATAAAATGATAACCTATATATTTTCCTTGCTAAGCAGCATGACATAAAAGCCATTGTAGGAACACGTTGTTACCAAAAGGCATTGACTTTTCTATATATCAGAAGTCGTTATATAAAGAACAACTCCTTTTCTATGTGGTTTTTTACTAGTTTGCCTTTATAAAAAGATGTGCATGCATGCAATTTGTAATACAAGAAACCACTTCTTTTGTTTGTGGTTTTTTTTGCTACCTTGTCTCATTTAAAAGATGCACACACACAGTGATAAATAATACCCGGGTGCACATTCTCAGGGACTACTTAGTATGGGAACAAAATTTCGGTTTCTAGGTTCTTTCTTCTTCAAGTTATGGTTCTCACTTCTTGTCTATGTGGTATTTCATTAGCTTGTCTTATAAAAAGACGTGCATGCACGTGGATAAATAATAATACCCATGTGCACACCCTTAGGGTCCACTTAGTATGGGTGTACAATTTCAGGTTTCTAGGTTCTTTCCTTTTGGAGCTATGGCGGTCACACACAAACAGACACACCTTTTTATTATTATAGATAAAGAATGTTATTAGTATAATTTCCTTGCACAACATACACAGTAGATTTTTCATATTTCAACTTAATCCTGAAAGACTAAGCCATCGCCTGCAGTAATTTTTAAATGTGTGTTCTTCATAACTTTAACAAGTTTTGTGATATAGGGTAAATTAATTCTAAGATTGTAAAATTTTAACCTATTTTCAGACTAAACCATTTGTTAAGTTTTTCTGGTATGTATTTCATTTGAACTATCAGTCTTTCATAACTGTTACTTTTCTTCAAACTAATAACTTGTATGATAGATGATTAAAATATTCTATGCATTAAACATCAAAATTGTAATTTTTAACTGATATTTATTACAGTTATCACTCCAGAAATAATATTTATGGAACTAAGTATCCATTTTTGCTGCAAATATGATGGAGTTTTGACAAGGAACAGAAATAAACCTATACTAATAACAATCAATATAACATACTTCTCTACAAACTGATGATATTTCATTTTCATTCATACAAGTTTGGGAGAGAGCATTGGTCAAACAGCCAAATACTAAATATTCCATTATTACCGTTAATAACAATTAACTGCAGATATTGTTTTTGCTTTCACATTGTTCTTAATATGTCCATTCCAGATTAAAATCAGAGGTGTGTGAGAAACAGCATTTTAAGTCTTCTCTTTTGTCAGAGCCAAATAAGCTTTTTTGTTCGATATCAGAACTCATTAGTTTGGTTGGATGACAAGAGACAAAAGTTTCTATGAAACACTATTTATACACGTAGTATAAAACTTTAAATGTTGCAATCTAAATGCTGTAAACCACTGAAATATTGTATAAGCTAAAAAGTATCATAAAACAAGTTAACTGGAGATGTTTTGTTTTTTCCATATTCCTCTTAATTTGTCAAAATCAGGGGTGTATAAAAGATAGACCTAAAATATTTTTATTTACACACCCCTGATTTTCAGTCACATTGGACAAAATAAAAGGAATCTGAAAAAACAACCAAATTTGAAGTAAACTTGTTTTTCTAATAACCAAAGCTTGAAAAATTATAGTTCAGACAGACAGATTGTGAAAACAATTTCTATATTTGTTATGTGTTTGCTATTTATATATTACTTGTTGTTTTTATAACAATTTTTAAGACAGTTGGTTTTCAATATTTTGTCAGTTTTTAGTGTTTAAACCATGATTTATATTAGAATCATCTTTTTCATTCTAAAATAAACAGAAATATATATATAGTATGAAGATATTGAAACATCAAATGATAACAGTGGTTTACCTGGTTATATAAAAATTATATTTACTCAGAAACATAAAATATGTACATATAAGTATTAATGTTTCCTATTCTCGTGTTCAGTACAAAATATTTACATTTTATAATTTGATATATCTTCCTACGAGAATATATCCATGTTTTTCTTTTATCTATCTTAAATAGTTGCTGTTATATTTGATATTTTTTATTTTATGCTGTGGCTGTTTATTTCTTT